TTTTTTTTCCCCCAAAAAAACACATTAGGTCTTATTTTCAGGGGATGTCTTATTTTTTTTAATGTGCAACAAAATGTACAACACTTCAAAGTTTTTCATGTACAACAATCCAAAGTTTTTCATGTACAACAATCCAAAGTTTTTCATGTACAACAATCAACATTTATTCATGTACAACAGTCTACCTGTATTCATGTACAAAAATACACCGTACATTTATTAAAATACAGTCATGTCATCTTCTTCTGGAACATCGTCATAACTCTCCAAATCCCGAATTCTCGCTTGATTTTCTTGCGACTCCAATTCCTTTAGAACTATTGACCCCAATCTTTCATGTCTGGCAATAGAGCTCTCTTTAAATGAACACTTCTTGTCCAGGTAGCCTGCTTGTAGTGCATTGGCAACACAGGTGTCAGAGATTTTAGCCCATGAATTTTTCACCCAAGTCACGACCTCTTGCAGGCCAGGCTTCACAAAGTTTCCACGCTGATTTCTCTCCATTCTATTTTCAAGGAAATCATTGATCTCCATATGCAAATGGTCCTTGAATGGCTTGTTTATTGCAATATCAAGAGTCTGGAGATAGGCTGTCATTCCTGCAGGAATCATTATTTGATCAATTCTTCTCTCTGCAAGGAAGTTCTTCATGTCTTTAGCACGGTGAGTGCTGGCTGAATCCCAGACTAGCAGACCTCTGTGAAACACCTTGCAAAATAAGTGGCAGCATTAAATCGACCCACTGCCTTATAAATGCTTGTGTGCACCAGGCTTTTTCGGTTTCAAGAACATAAATGCCTGAAACACGTTCAATCCTATCTTTCTTGCCCTTAGCGATGATTAGAGGTGTGACTTTCTTTCCATCCAGGCTAATTGCCAAAATAAAGGTAACACGTGCAGTGCACTTTCGTAACCAGTGGAAGGAATGTAGATTGACGAGGCACCCCTCTGATTAATTGTTGTTTGAGATCCTTGGCCCATATACACTGCAGTTTCATCCATAGCAATCATGTTGGAGAGTTGGTATTTAGAAAAGTCGATGCCATCAACAAAAGACTTGAATGCAAGCGCACGTTTAACAATTTCAGCATCTTCCAGCTTGAACAATGTTGTTGATTGTCTTAGAGAGAGTTCATATCGCTGAAGGAAGTTATCCAGCCAATGTTGTGATGCTTTGAATTCTTCTGAGGATATATCCATCTTTGGCGCCATCGCAAGGGCAAATGCTTGAATATCAGCCCTGCGCACAACCAAAGCCTTTGCTCTCCTGTCAGCAATCCATTCACAGGTGATGTCTTCCAAATGTGGAAATAACGTTTGCCGACCTGATCCACACTTGCGCTTCTTAGCATTTCCCTTGTCCACCTGTTGACTGAGGGTATTGTAGTCTGCTCGCCATTTTCGGACCAATCGGAGATCCAACTTCTTCTCTTGGCAGTAAGCTGTAAGATTCTTGCCGCATGATTCATCTACAATTCTTTTCTTGTACTCAACAGAATAGCTCTTTCTTGTTGCGCTCATCTTGTCTGGGGGTCAAAATACAGTATAATTCTGTTTAAATCTACCATTAAAGCAAGTACGATAATACAATGCCTACGGTACAGGTCACTTGGGGGGGCCTGGACAGGAGTAAGAAGGCCCCATTAACCAAAAATAAATAGCACAAAGTTTTCAGGCACACTCACCAGCCAGCATGCAAAAAAACCTTTCTAACCACTAAGGTTAAAAACACAGGTTTGGATACACATCTTCTGCAGAAAATGTGAAAGCCACACAGCCACGTCAAGGCACCTCCATATAGTGCGGTCCAAACTCTAAACTATGAGAGTCTCCATCTTGGAGCACATGGGGCAAAAAGATTAAATTGGGTGCAGGTTTGTCAGGAGGAAGCCCAACCTCCCTTAAGGGTACAGGTACGCACAAGGGACCCCGCACATCACAACGGCAGCTGAGACCCCCCATGCGTCACTGCACTAAATCAGTCAAGCAAAACAAATGGCAAACGCACTCATCAATTCGTTACTAGCTTTACAGCAAGGTGAACCTTCCGTGTAACGCACTCATCAATTCGTTACCAGCTTTACAGCAAGGTACACCTTCTGTGTGCACCTTGCTGTAAAGCTGGTAATGAATTGATGAGTGCGTTTGCCATTTGTTTTGACATTAACCAAAAAGGCACTAACATTGGCTCCTGGGACTAGAGCTCCCAGCAGGCTGATGCTCCCTCCCACAGGGGCATATGGTAGTACCATATAAGGGTGTAGGTGGGGTAGTTTGCAGAGGGGGGGATATCAGTGGGGGGTCAGGAAGATCATCAATCAGTCACAGTACCATTCTTTTACTCCCCTTCCCCAGTACTGTATGATACAGTACATTACATACCGGTATCTCTGCTCTGTGTGACAGCAGTGTGCCTCAGCCTCCACAGCATATTGTATCATCATCAATTAGAGATTTTTTATAAAACAGTTTTATCTCTATTATTTAAATTCTAGTTAAAAAAAAAGTATGTGAGGGGATGCTCAATGGGGACATTATAGACTGCATACTTTACCCATTGAGGATCCCCTCACATACTTTTTTTCTACCATAATTTAAATAATACATTAGAGATAAAACTGTTTTATAAAACATCTCGAATTAATTGAAGATGATAAAATATGCTTAGGCACACTGCTGTCACACAGAGCAGAGATACCGGTATGTAATGTACTGTAATGTACTGAGAATTGTAGTGAAAGAAGGGTACTGTGACTATCAGAGTACGGTACCTGACTGCAGCTGTCTGGAACTCTGTAATGCCATCCAGGGAGCCAATCAGAAATTCCCTCACCTCAGCTTCAACCCTACTGGCCATGCCGCTGTGCCTGCTGGGAAACGTAGTTTTCCAGCGGCAGCTCTAATTTCCTAAAAGCCAAGGACCGGAGGGCAGACGGGCCGACAGGAGGGGGTGAGAGAGGGAAGGAGCTGCGGCGGCCAGAAAGTTTATTGCGATCTGGCAGACAGGAGACAAGCTGCACATACCGGTATCATTGATTTTTACACTCCTTGCTACACTCCAACAGACCCCTTGCTGGCTGCATGGATGCATGTACATGTGCGCCCCCTACCGCCGAACTAGGTCTTATTTTCGATGGTAGGTCTTATATTACAGAAATCCCTGAAGATAGTGATAGGTTTTATTTTCGGGGTAGGTCTTACTTTCGGGGAAACGCGGTAGTTGTTTGGCTCCTTTTTAAATCATAATAACAGAAATCACCCAAATGGCCCTGATCAAAAGTTTAAATCACATAGGGTGAGACACACAGGTTAAAAGGTTAATTTCCCACATATGTGGCTTTTTAAATTGCAACTAGTGCCTGTGTACAAATAGTCAATGAGTTTGTTAGCTCTCACATGGATGCACTAAGCAGGCTAGGTACTAAGCCCTGTAAAAGACCTGCGTAACAAGGTAATGGAACGTTATAAAGATGGAAAAGGATATAAAAAGCCTTGAAAATGCCAGTCAGTACTGTTCTATCACTTATTAAGAAGTCGAAAATTTAGGGATCTCTTGATACCAAGCCAAGGTCAGGTAGTCCAAGAAAGATTGCAGCCATAACTGCCAGAAGAATTGTTCGGGATACAAAGAAAAACCCCTAGGTAACCTCGGGAGAAATACAGGCTGCTCTGGAAAAAAAACTGTGTGGTTGTTTCAAGGATAACAATATGATCATACTTGAACAAACATGAGCTGCATGGTTGAGTTGCCAAAAAGAAGTCTTTACTGCACCAATGCCACAAAAAAGCCCGGTTACAATATGCCCATGTTTTGTTTTATGATTGTGCCATTCAAATAGTAGAGCATTAAGGAAGTAGCCACTTGCTTAAATCTTCTTTTTAGGGCTTCCTTGCTCACTTTGATTTTTTTTCAATTCAAAACGTCTTTATTAAAATGTATAAAAGCAAACAAAAGACAAAGTCTCGATGCAACAGATGCACAGCAAAAGTTATAGAGATGCACATATTAAATCTAGAACCATGTAGATATTGTACTACCACATAAAAGTGAAAATTTCAGGCCCTATGACATTGCAGCGGGCCGTTGCTGCATAATATATGTAAGGCATTTATTACATAGACAAGTTAAGAGTGCATATGCATCCCCATCTCTGCTTACAGTTACAACAGTTGAAAAAGAGCTACAAGGAAAGTTTTTTAGAGTTCTGTGCCACGTAGGCCACATGGGGTTATACAGTGTCTTCGGATTAGTACTGTTCAACTCAAACATCGTGTGTGGTACATGGCCTCAGGAGTAGGGAAAGTAGACAGAGAAGTGTAAAGAAGAATAGAGAGGATTCGAAAACAGGAAGAAAAAGTCGGAGACGGTCCAGCGAACCAGGTGGAAAACAGACCAGAAAGAGGACATGGGAAGAGTGAGCAAGGAGGGGGCAGCTAAGAGAAAGAAAGGGTGGGCAGATGTTGGGTTACTGCTCCATCACATCGACTGATGTAGGCGGCCCTGGGTTTACCTTCAGCCCCATCCCGGGAATCTACCAACATTTCCCAGGTGTATATCTCAGAGTATTGGAATGCTGGCCATGGACTCCAGGTGGACCTGAACTTCCCAGACTGGGTGCACAGAGTGGGTGGGTTGTGTGGTGGGTAGTAGTGTGGGTGGGTGAACAGAGTGGGTGGCAGTGTGGGTGGGTAAACGGAGTGAGTGGGCAGTGTGGATGCACAGCATCTCACCTCTCTTTCTCTGGCCAGTTCTAAGGGCTTGTTTACATCATATACAGTGTGTTCCAGCGCGGTTAGCTGCTGGAACGCTCTGTTTCACATAGTAAATTCCCCCCTGTGTTCTAGTGCATGCAGCAGTTTTTCTGATCACGCTAGACCGCAACGCAGGCACTGATGTGTCACGCATTCTGGTGCGGGCGATCACACTGCATGCAGGGGGCGTGGCTGTGGTGCCATTGACTTCAATACACCACCACACCCCTATATAGTGTGAACAAGCCATAATCCTGCTTTCTCTACTCTACAACTTTAGAACCTGACTCTCCCCCCTGTCCCAACCACTTCCTTGGAGTGGAAAGGGCGATTTGCATATTAATGAGGCATTGCGGGATTTGCATAGGAATATCTCGGCTCATTGATATGCAAATTCCGCAATTAGCATATGAATGAGCCGCGGCCAATGTTAATAGCTCCTGCAGCTCAGTAGATGTCATATGAACAGAAGCTGCAGTCCCTCTCAGCTGGACCCCCCCTTACCTGTCGGCAGTCCTTCCTTCAGAGATCGCTCTCACTCCGCTGCTTCTCCACCAGCTGAACACAGGCAGGAGATAACTCCGCCCTCCCCCGCTTTGTACTGTGGCAGGGGAGAGGATTCCGGGTATCTTTAGTTTTCGTTCGGCTGTGCACAGTTTTTGACTTGCGGCCTCACGGAAATTAAGGATCCCTTCCTGCTCCCAACCAGGCCCCCTTCTGGCCCGGGCCCCATAGCGGCTGCGTAGGCTGCTATGGTGGTAGTACGCCACTGCTTAAGCTGCATCTCAGGATGAACCTACATAGCAGCTCAAGCAATAACCACAAGGAAAATTAATATTGATCCCCAGTAGGACCTCACTTCTCCCAGAAAGATCACTCCATCCAAACCCTCAATATTAAAGTACTGAAAGGGAATTTTAAAAACTCTAATGAAAGGAAAACATTTAAAATTAAAATGATTATACATATCAACACTATAAAGGAGGGACTTAATGTGGATTCTGGCTTCCTGACACACTACCAGAACTTTTTATGAATATACAGAACATCATGATGTCCTATGTATGTCGTATATCACTGATCTGATCTGTTTAGGGTTTATTGGTAATCCTATGTTTATTTGTTCTGTCTTTTGGTTATCAGGATGCACTTCTCACTCCCAGGGCCAACATATTATGACACCCCACTCACCCTCCCCCTAACAACTTTCTCTTGTTTTAAGCAGTACTCTGTCATGTTGATTAGTATTGCTTCTGACCTGAATAGAAATACTGCAATACTCAGTTGTTTGTTTGTTTTACATCTTGTCTACTGGACTAATAATAAAATATAGAGAATGAACTGCGCCAGTTTTGTAACATGCGCCCGGCGTTGTCTTCCCCGGCACCACTGTCCCAGTGCTGCGCCCGGAAGCAGCTCGGTGGGTCTCCCCACAATGATCGGAGAGAGATTCAGCGGCTTCCAGCCGCTGATCTCTTCACCGATCACTGGACCCGGAAGTTATGTGTATTACATCACTTCCAGTGTCACTTTTACAGTCTCCGGCTCTCAGAGCCAGGTGATGAAGCTGGGGAAGCAGATCTCTGCTTCCTCACCTTCTTTGGGGTCCCTAGGTGACATTAGGGATCTGAAAGATCTGTCTCCATAAAGAGGACCTGTCACACCCTATCTGCTATTACATAGGGTGCTTGTTATCCCCCATGTGATAGCAATAGGGTTAGTGTAAAAAAAAAAAAGTGTTGAAAAATGAAAGTAACATAAGAAAATAAAAAAAATGCATAAAAACTATTTTGAAGTCCCCCGCCCCCCAAGTGCACACACATACACACGTCTGTGCGCCTTCGTGCGAAAACGACAATTGTGCTACACATGTTACATATTTCCGCGAACTTTGGAGTGAGAGCAATAATTCTAGTGCTGTCAATCACTGTTAGCACTAAAGTGATGAGCGGTAAAAGCGTTTAAAATGTTCCCTATGGGAAATTTTGGATATTTACTTTTTTTGCGGCTTCAAGGGCGAACACAATTTTAAGGCTTGACATGTTTGGTATCTATTTACCTGGCGTGACCCCATCTTTCATATTTTACCAAAATTTAGTATTATATTATGTTTATGTGCATTACATTTTTATTTTATTCTAAAAATACTGGTTTGATAAACATTGCGACATAAAAAATTGCAACTAGCATTTTTTTATTCTACAGGGCCTCTGCTTTCAGAACATATATCATTGTTCGGGGGTCTGAAGCTGTTTTCTAGCCAAAAATGTATATTTTATCATGTGTGTGCAAATAGTAAGAAAATGCCCCAGACAGCAAGTGGTTAAGGCAACACACCAAGATGTGACTGGACCCTAAACCCCTGATATTAATACATCATGACCATAAAAACAGTGTAAATAACTTTGTTCTAACCTCTGATATTTAATGATTTTTGTAGTCTGCGATTCCTGTTCCTAAATTTATCTTCATACTACACACCAAGCAAAAGGAAGAGTATATTTATACATAGGAGTATATTTATAAAGGATAAGGTGGAACATTAGCTGTACATTCGCTCCAACATTATTATTATTACACAGGATTGATAGAGCACCAACAGTTTGCGCAGCGCTTTACTATATAAGGAAGACATTACAATCACAATACAATTCAAGACAAGATGGTAAGGAGGGCCCCGCCAGCTGTTTAAAATGACACCAAGAACACGGCTGCAGCAGCTGTGTTCTTGGTATAACCACTTCTGCAGGCTGCAGTATATGTACGTATTGCGGCCCAGCATGGTTAAAAAACAAAACTGCATGCTCCCTATTGAAATAACCAGCCTGGAACACAGGGCACACAAGGCATGCCAATTGGTATCTTAATGGAAAAAGTCACAACAAGTGTGCAGCCACCTTCCAATGCATATGCCCTTTAGCACTGGGGGAAGGGTGCTATGCTAAGGGCCCCCCTTCCCCCACAAAAGGTACCTCCCCAAACACCTTTGTCTGATGTATATATTTACTAGGCTTATTGGCACTCATGGCAGCAGAGGGAGGGAAGGGGAGGGAAATTATGTACCACCTACCTGCCCCAATGGGAGACTGGTAGGTTGTGATCCCCTGGACCATCCCAGGGTCTCTGGCTGAGAAGTGATGTGGATCCCTGCAGCAGGATGGTTGTGTATGTGCATAGAACTCTGCCTAGCTGTCCCCAAGTGTGATAACAAGTACTGGTGATGGTTGGAAGCACTTATTATGACTTCATAGAAAGGTCCAAAAGGTGACTGTCAGGTGATGCTAATGTATGATACCAACGTATACATAAAATGGGGTTTACATGAGGCAAAAACACAGTTTCATATTACTATAAACATTTTATTTATTTTCCAACATTAAAAATCAACATCACTTAATACATACAATATTTTAAAATTAATGTATTTCTTAAGTATTTCCCCCCTATTTGGTTGCTTTAAAACAGCTGTTCTCAACCTGTGGGTTGGGACCCCTTCGGGGGTTGAATGACAATTTGCCAGGGGTCACCGGGAGTCTCCCGCTATTAGATAGCAACTCCCGGCCGTCCAGGAGAGAAACACTTTTTCCCGGAAAGGTTTAATCTGCTCGATCGAGCAGAGTAAACCTTTCGCTGCGATCGTTTTTTTATTTCTGACATCGGAGCCCCGGCCGCCGTAAGTCAGAAAAAAATAAATAAATCAGCATTGGAATGCATAGCTAGATTCCTATTGGCTATTTCACTTTGCAATAGCAAACTAGCACCCGCCCACTGCTGCTGTCAATCAGCAGAGGGGGACCTGCAGTTCTCCATCAGGTCCCCATCTAGTGATTATCATCATTATTATTAATAATAAAAGCTGACACACTCGGCTTGTGTTATATGGTTTGCCATTTTAGCTGTTACAACAGTGGTTCTCTACCTGTGGGTCGCTGTGTGATTTCTGCTGTGCTAGGTGAGAGTCCTCCTCAGCCCTCTTGCAACGCTGCAGTGTCAGTTCTCCCGCCACGCCGCCAGATGTCGCTGCAGCAGCCGCGTCAACCCTAAATTTTACCGTTGGGGGTCACCACAACTTGGCAAATGTTACCAAGGGGTCCCGGCCCTAGAAAGGTTGAGAACCACTGCTTTAAAACAAGCTTAATGTCAGGGACTGAGGCTGTCTGGCCTTGAACCTGGGTCTCCCAGCTCCCGCTCCAGCTGGGCTTGTTACCTCCAAGCCTCCAGCCCTCTCAGCACTTTCCCTAGAAGAAGAACTGCATTATTACCCTTGAACACAGACACCCTTATCTGTCTGCTGTATCAATACTATAGTCCTACATACTAAGCTTCTCAATGAGCCGCACCTGCTCCTGATCTTTGGCCTTCTATTTAAAATCCGCCCTGTTTCCTGTTTCCTTGCCAGATTATTGTGCTCCACACAGTGGCAGTTTTCGAGTTTATTTACTTAAAGGAGAACTATGAGGGAAGTGATTTCCACTCATCCTCATAGTTAGAGTCGACCTGTGACAAAGAAGCTGGGCTATAGCCTGCGATATACTGAGCTTTGGGTCATGGGAGGACACTAGTATATGTCCTCCCAAGACCCTAAAGAGAACTATGGGGAAAAACACCCCATATTTCTTTTTTTAATTATTGTTTTCCAACAAGCCAAAGCAATATTTGGTATTAGGACGTGGCATTTCCTTTTATGTTAAAATTATTTTCTGGTTCTTTTTCTAGGATATAATGGAAAAAAAGTTGGACGATCACAACTGTACCTTAGTGTCAATGAAATGTCTCAGAAAATTACTTGCCAAGTTCAACCCAGATATGGCACTGAAGTGTTTACAATTTTCAGCATCTTCTGCACATCAGGCAAAGAGGTAAGAGTAGAAAGAGTAGCTTTACAGGCACGGAACACTTTGTAATCTGATCGTTATACATGTATGTGTATCCAAGGTTTAACCCAAACTAGTATTTTCTGTTTTTAAACTGCGATGATAAATTAAATATGGTATTTTTTTGAACCGATAGAGCTTCTTTTGGCAGCACTTAAAGGGACAACTATGAGGTGAGTGATTTTCACTCACCCTCATAGTTAGAGCCGACGTGTGACATTGAAACTGTCACACTTTGGCTCTATTGATCGGGAAGTGAGCGAACACATACTGCCACTCGCTTACTTTCCGATCATCTCCCTGCAGAGAGCGGATTGCCCTCTCTGATCCTCCAGCACTGACTGGAGGAACGGATGGGGGAAGGGGTGGGCACAGCTTACTCTGTCTCTAGATAGGCAGGGCCCGCTGTCACTCACGCAGCTGGGAGGTTCTCGACAGTATTGTTGGGACCCGTCCTGGCTGCTGCACTCTCAGTATATAGCAAGCTGTAGCTCGCTATATACTGAACTTTGGGTCACGTGAGGACGTTAGTATATCTCCTCCCGTGATCCTTAAGAGAACTATGGGATAAAATGTTTACCCCATAAGCTTCTCTTTTAAGCATTCTAATTTGTCAGCATACATGTACAACTGCTACTACAAGATGCCTGCATGAATGTCACATTGGCCTGCCCCTTCTCCCACTTATATGCTGCTCCATATCAATGAAGGGCAACCTCGCTGAGCAATCATTGGGCATGGGAGATGGGTAGGTGCAACCCTGGTTTCTGAAACCCAGCTCAGCTTAAAATATTCATGAAAGATCAGCTCGGTTTTTAGAACTCCGTGGGCATTCTCCAAGGTATGTGACATAACTTCACCCTAGTTAAAATAATGAAAGCTTAAACTCCATGTAATTTTCTCTAAATTACCTATATAGTTAGAACAAATCAAGAAGTTTATTCTAAACTGTAGTCAAAAGACTGAAAGACCCACTATTCATGCTGAACAATCGACCCTGTTCCCTGTTAAAAAATTGCAGGTAAAAACACAGGGAAATCAGTTATTTTTAATTCTTACTTGCACCAATTTTTCTTTCTATAATTGATATTTATTCACTTGCAATGTGATCTAACGGGTAAATAAAATGCATTTACTACATTCAATGCACATAATATGATTGGAAAATTTGGTTCAAATTAATGGTCTGGCGACAAGGTCTCTTTAAGGTTGCATTGCAACCTTGTCACTGCAAACCCCATCTCTGCTCCATGAATCCTGCCATCTGCAAGGAAATTGCTGCTTCTAATTGAAAATTGGAATTTTCTAAATGAAATGTGCCATATTTATGTCTCATTTCTCAAAGCAAGCCCTGTTGGAACCACAGCTGATATCTTCAACGAAAATGACAAAGTGTTACTGATTTTCTATATGCCTAGACATACACAAAATTATATTTCATCCTATACAACAAAAGATCAGAAACCTGCCATTATAATGTTAACACTTAGCTGGTATACAGGCCAGGGAATGAAGTGTGTTTTACTTTAAAAACTGAGCTGTCTATAGTTAAAGCTGAACTCTAGGCACATTAGGCTGAATTCTAGGCATATAAGATACAAATGAATGCTGCTGTCTATTTATTAATACATCACTAAATGCATTTTTTAATGCAAACAGTGTAAGAACCTGAATTCATCCTCAGCCTCTAGCAGTCCATGTACAGCAGGGACGGAGTGTGAGAGGAAGAAGCAGTACAAGGAACCAATCTGTTTATGTGCTGACAAGAAGCATGGTGATATAAAGAAAATGCAGAGTGACAGAAAGATAAGCTGTTTACTGAGGTGCTTCTCCTTTTACAGTCCAGTCACAGGCTCGGGCAGGTCCAGGACAACCTAGGCTCAGAGGAAGTGGTTTAAAAAATGCTTGCCATCAGTCTGTTTGCTTTAATGCTTCAAAATAGTGTCTAATACCTACTGTACATGTAAATATAATTATGGTTTCAGGACCTTTCCTATGAATTCAGCTACCAAGTGGGGGATTTATCAAGGAAAATGTTGTATAAAGGAAGAGATATTCAATACTACTTTAATTTGCCATCAGGGGATCCAGGTAGTGGATATCAAGGTAAGTCATTTTTCCATCGAATGCTGGCCATACACTCTGCGATTGTCGTTCGTTAGCAATACCTACTCACCAAATTTAGTCGATCGACAGAACTGATTTTCGTTTGCGCATGTGCAGTGTTCATGTTGCGATTTTTTATTTTTTATTGATGTGATTCGAAAAACGTTTTCAGTCTGACCGCTCGAGGAAATTCAGACAGGAGTACAGTTAAAAAAAAAAAAATCATTGGATTCCCATCAACTGATCGATTATTGTTCAAACAACCATCCGTGGATGATTTCCGGACAATAATCGATAGGTGCATGGGCACCTTTAGACTATGAAGAGATAGATGACAACAGATTTAGAGTTAGTTTTCACTGTCAGTTATGTTTGGGTGGTTAGTTTTGTTAACCAGTAATAATATCTACTGGCTCTACTGAAAGGGCCCATTCTCACCAGCCACTGCACTACATCGCACAGCAGCTTGTGTGCAGTGCCTGGCACAGTGCTGATGCGCCGATCCTGACACATCGCTGTATACTTTTTTTTTAGTGACATCTCATGGAACGCACAGAGTGCAGAGGCCAGAATTAAGGAGCACACAGAGTGCAGAGGCCAGAATAAGGAGCACACAGAGTGCAGAGGCCAGAATTAAGAAACACACAGAGTGCAGAGGTCAGAATTAAGGAATGCACTGAGTGCAGAGGTCAGATGTAAGGAACGCAGAGAGTGCAGAAGTCAGATGTAAGGAACGCACAGAGTGCAGAGGTCAAATGTAAGGAATGCACAGAGTGGAGAGGTCAATGATAAGGAACGCACAGAGTGCAGTGGTCAGAAGGAAGTTACGCACTGAGGGCAGAGGTCAGTAGTAAGTAATGCACAGAATGCTGAGGTCAGTAGTAAGTAATGCACAGAGTGCAGAGGTCAGTAGTAAGTAATGCACAAGGTGCAGAGGTCAGAATTAAGGAATGCGCTGAGTGCAGAGGTCAGAATTAAGGAATGCGCTGAGTGCAGAGGTCAGAATTAAGGAATGCACTGAGTGCAGAGGTCAGATGTAAGGAATGCACAGAGTGCAGAGGTCAATAGTAAGTGACGCACAGAGTGCAGAGGTCAGTAGTAAGTAACACATAGAGGTCAGATGTAAGGAACGCACCGAGTGCAGAGGTCAGTAGTTAGAAACACAGAGTGTTTATTTTTCAAATACCCAAGTCATGTCATTGTTTACAACTGGTGCAAAAAATTTTCTATATAAAAATCCAAATGCCAGACTGCTGTCACATATAAACCATGCCATGCCACTACATACTGCATGATGGGAAAGCAGGATTTGTTGCATTCTTTACTACTGAACTGTGTGTTTCTGGCTACATCTAGCTCTGCCCACTGCTTTCTAGATTGACAACACTGCCTGCTTAAGAATGCAATGTCTGGGAGCATGTGAGACACAATAAAAAGAGGGCTTGGCTCAATCACTGAAGGTAGAGGAAGTTTAATATATTTTTTTTTTTTTACTTTTTGAGGCTTGTGCATCACATAGTAACTTGATTTGGTAATTGTTTAGACTGAACCTTTCCCCCAATATTATTGGTGTTTTCCTCATATGTGTAAGAAATTACCCAATTAAATTATTATGCAGGATTTATAAAGCACCAAAGGTTTGCGCAGCACTTTACAAAATGGAGGGAGACCGTACAGTTACAATACAATTTCAATACAGGAGGGTTAGGATGGCCCTGATCGTGAGAATTTACAATCTAGTAGGAGAGTAAAGTGATACAAAACCTAATAATTGTGTGGGATCAGTTAATGGAAGAAGTAAAAGGACAGTTTTTATGTTGAGGTGGGATAGGCTTCCCTGAAGAGATGAGCTTTCAAAAATCACCTAAAGGTGAACAGAGTAGGAGGTAAGTGGACAGATTGGGGTAGGGAGTCCAGAGGATGGGAGACACTCTGGAGAAGTCCTGGAGGCGAGTATGGGAGGAGGTGATGAAAGAGCTAAAGAGCAGGAGGTCTTGAGAGAAGCAGAGAAGATGGTTTGGGTGATACTTTGAGATGAGCTAGGTGATGTACCTGGCAGAGCTGTAGATGGATTTGTATGTTGTTAGTATTTTGAATTGCTATTGGTTGGGCAAGTAGGAGCCAGTGGAGATTGGGCAAGTAGGAGCCAGTGGAGAGATTAGCAGAGAGGGGAGGTGGACACCGAATGGTTGGTAACATGGATGAGTCTGGCAGCATCATTCATGATAGACTAAAGTGGGGATAGCCTGTTTCGTGGAAGGCCAGCAAGGAGGGAGTTACAGTAGTCGGGGCTAGAGATTACAAGGGAGTGAATTAAAAGATTTGCAGTGTCATTTGTTAAAAACTGGTGAATTTTGGAAATGTTACGGAGGTTAAGTCGGCAAGATTTAGATAGTGATTGGATGTGGGATTAAAAAGGAGAGCTCATAAATCAAGGATTACACCGAGAACCCTGGCTTGAGGGGAGGGGTTGATCATAGTGATGCTGATTGTGATGGAGAAGTCAGGGGAGGGGACACGGAGAGGAGGAAATATTATAAGCTCAGTTTTGGACAGAATGAAGTTGAGGAAGTGGTGTGACATCCATGTTGATATGTCAGTGAGTAGGGGGGTGGGGTCCAGGGGGCAGGTAGTTAGGTGTGAATTGCACAAAAGAGTAGCAACTTCATCTGTGGTAACACAGCCAAATGATGAAAGTATTGTATGTGGTGGAAGACAAGGTGTATTTGGAGTGGGAGATGTCTTGACAGTGGTTATTTCATGGCAAATTGCATCATTCTTGTCTTTGAAGGGATTGGCGATGATCTGGGCAGTTAGTGAGTTAGTTGGAGGAGGTGGGTCTGTCACTGTGTGCTGCTGATATACAGTTTTCAAATGCACTTATTGAAGCAGGCCCTAAAGGCTAAAAATGTGTAAATATATATTTGTGAGATAATATATAATAAAATAATACATGTTTTTCTTTACAGTCACAGTTTTCACTCAAATAACAAATGCTTTTGGATCACAAACTCAGCCATGTCCACTGAATGTGACCGTGCATCCAGTTGTCTCCAGGAATACATCAAATACTTTATCGGAGGTTGAACTGTAAGTCTTAAACTGGTCACACACCACATAATCCTGTATATCAGGGGTAGTGAATTAAAATTGAAGCAGGTCCAGTGAGTAAAATTTCCTTCAAGCCAAAGTCCGAATCGCGGGTCTAGACAGAACGGTCACTCAGTCTGTGTCTGGACCATGGTCCGCCGTTTAGGCTGCATTCACACCTGCTGGTGTGTGTTCCCATGCACAGTGCTGATATACTGATAGGGGAGCTTCACACCGATTTTTCGTTATTTTTTGTTAGAACTTTGTTGAAATGTCACGAGTGACATTTCATTAAGTTCAATGGGGACAGCACAGAATGATGCAGTTGCAGCCTCCATGCAGTACTTCTTTTCAGCATACACAACTGCATCGTGGTGGGGGTGTTAGCTGAACTGATTCGTAATATGGCAAATCGCCTTGTCTGGTGTTGGGGCTGCACTGGAAAAAGTGGCCAGAGGGGGAACTCCAACCAATAATTAGCTGTCCCCATCATAGTGCCCACCTTCACATTGCTTGTCACCATCCGAGTGCCCCTTTATGTTGTATTTAATGTAAGGGGGAATGCTGATGGGGGCAACTAATGTAGGCGGGCACTCTGATGGGGGCAACTAAAAAAATTGTTGTCCCGATCATTACATTGGCTGTCCCCACCCATCAGAGTGCCCTCTTACTTTGGTTGTCCTCATCAGAGTGTCCCCTTACATCAGCTGTCCCTATCGGATTGCCCCTTGCATTTGTTGCCCCTATCAGAGTGCCCCCTTACTTTTGTAATCTATGTAAGGGGGCACTCTGACGTGGTTAACAAATGTAAGGGCGAACTCCGATAGGGACAAATAATAATTAGTTGTCCGCATCAGAGTGCCCCCTTACATTGGTTGTCTCCTAAAGGGCACGTTCACACCAATGCAGTGTGTTAATTGTCCATGCATTTATTGCACACTGCCATGCACCTATTGTGCGTTACATTATGGCAGGTGCACTTGACCGCACGGCAATACCTGGTACTGCAATACCGTCTGTTGCAATGCAGTTTAAAAAAGTAGTGAATGCGGTATGCAGTAGTGCAGGGGTGCCCACAAGGTCGATAATGCAGGCGATCGCACTGTGGGCGAGGGGCCTGCCTGCGCACATATCATCCGAAAATGGCACTTTTGGCTAAATGCAGAAAGTGCAATTTTTCTGCCGAAACAGCTGCACATCCCTGGTTTCTTTCCTCCCCAATGGGCGCTGCTCTGTGTCCCAGCGGGGAGAACAGAAAGTGTCGCAGGCGGCCGAGCGCTGCGGGAGGAGAGCGCTTTGAGTATAGAGGATTCCTGTTCATTTATAACTGTGGATACAGAAAAAGAGATTGAGGACCCTGCGGCCTCAATCTCTTTTTCTATTTTAAAAGGGAAATATCAGGGGTCTGTTTAGACCCACAATATTTCCCCGAACCCCCTAAAAGTAAAGTAAAAAATAAAAACATTCAATAAAAAAATTAATAAATAAAAATTTAATATTTAAAAAAATTAAATAAAAAACATTTTTGGTTTCGGCCTGACATTTTTTTTTGTTTCCATTTTTCCATTTCGGTGCACTTCTAATGTTAATCGCACAGATGCGTGTGACTAACACACTGCATTGGCGTGAACGAGCCCTCACAGTGCCCCTGTGTATTACTGTCCTCACATTTTTTTCTTAGTACCTTAGATTTATAAACTAAAGCTGGCCATACACTGCTCTATTTTTTCGTTCAACCCGCAAGCTGAGTGAAAAAACCAGAGCAAAACAGAGCTATGAGTTCGTTGTTCGAAGAATCCTCGCTCTTTCTTTTGTATTCTGACAGTGTCAGAACACCCAGAGGTGGCAGCTCATTGGCTGCCAGCTCTGTTCGTACAAAGATTTTCTGACCGGGTCCTTTGATCAGTTAATCGAGGGATGCTTGCCGAAAGGGTGCCAACAGGGGCACCCACTGTGCAAATTTCAGCCGGTACTTCAAGAACCACCCAAAATTCGCATAGTGTATGGCTACCTTAAGTAACGCAATAAAATGGGGCTAAAAAGCACACCAATCTCACATAACATAAAACATTACTTTTATTTTATACATGTAACATTTTATATTATGTGTGTGTGTGTGTGTGTATAGAGCATAGCTGGGAACATAGCTGGGAGTGGCTGTCCTCCTTCATGCTAGGTGGGGAACACAATAACGTCATTGGTTGATCGGAACACTGCGGTCCTAACAACCAATGGCTAAGGAGGAGGGGAGACCCAGCACAGGTTGGCAATCACGGTCCAGACGGGACTGCTGCTTGGTTTGTGTCTGGACCAGGGTCTGCCATTTGGGGACCCCTGCTATATCCCCTGCTATATATAATATTGTTATGCAAATTGTAGACTGAAATTCCGACAATGCATTTGTTTTCATCAAAATTAATTATTAATTAATTTCTATTACATTGAATTACAGCTGCACATTTTCTTTTATCTTTCACCTAGATTTCAAGAAGGCTTGAGAAATCTTTCTATGCTTGTGTTAATGGGAAATCACGTTGAGATTCGAAACTACGTTGTCTTATTGACCACAATCCTCAATCGATTATATACAGAAGACAACAAAACAACTTTGGAACAGCAGTTACAAATCAGAAATGAACTGATTTCCATTGTTCACAGCTTACCTTTTAATAATCAGGTAAACATAACCTCAATATCTTTGTGTTTGTAGACATAGAGAACACTCTAAAGGTGTCCATACACTTTACAACCCTCGCAAGACTTTTGTCTTGCGAGGGTTGTAAAGTAATTTAAAAACGTACGATCTGCCCATCTTGGACAGGCAGATCGTACTTGCGATCATCGCAAGCCTGCCCCCCTGATGGGTCCCTCAAAAAGAAAGGACCGTTCTGCAAAGATGCTTGCAGATTGTTCGGTGCGGCCGGCCGGGCCCAGCAGAGCGGCGGAGGGTGGAAGCGATAACAATAAATGCATAGTGTGGAGGTCAGTAATGTGACGCAGTGTGGAGGTCAGTAATGTGACGCAGTGTGGAGGTCAGTAAGGTGACGCAGTGTGGAGGTCAGTAAGGTGAAGCAGTGTGGAGGTCAGTAAGGTGACGCAGTGTGGAGGTCAGTAAGGTGAAGCAGTGTGGAGGTCAGTAAGGTGACGCAGTGTGGAGGTCAGTAAGGTGACGCAGTGCGGAGGTCAGTAAGGTGACGCAGTGCGGAGGTCAGCGGTGTAAGAAAAGGGACTTACAGTGGAGATGTTCTCTGTCCTCATGCCCTCTTATTCCTCTCCAGGTGGGGGGAGGGGGGAGCATCCATGTCTGCTCCATGTGAAGCCCCCAGCAGCCTTGTTGTGCCTCCACTGCAGGTGCCTTCCCTCTCTGTTGAAACTAGCCAGGCAGCCAATGATGGTGCTGCACTCTCCCTCCCATCCAATAGCAAGCAAAGGAGGGCAGAGGCAGAGCAGAGCCGTCAAAGGAGATTGTGCCTGCAGCAGTGGCGGCTGCTTTTCAGAGTAATCAGCGGGGGGGGGATGGGGGGGG